ATAGCCAGCCAGCCACCATGCCGAGCCAGCAGCGCATCGCCGCAATCTCCCAAATGCCAACATAAAGCCAGCGTCCACTAGCATCGCAGCGTCGAGCCAGCGTCACGTCGTCAACGCGTGAAGTCAGCATTAACGCAAGACTGAATGAATGTCAAAGCCAGAAAAGTCAGCGCTTATGTAGCGTTGACTCGGAGTCTGGACCCCGGATGCTACCACACTCAATCGTCCAGATCTCGATGCAAAGTAAGGCCCAGATTGGTCTAAAACTGACTTCCCTCCGGCCTGGATGCTTGTCTGGGTACCTGCGCACAACAAGTTAGTGTATCCAACCAAGCGCCTGGGTGAGGTACCTTTGACTCTACAGTTGACTTTGACCTTTGAATTTTCTGTGTGGAGCGTTAGGTCACATAGCCAAATGCGACAGACTCAGGCCTGGGCGTGTCTTGGTCACACAGCCCAGTAAAGACCAACTCAGGTCTGCATTGCCTGGGGCTGAGTTTAGGGCCCCACGCTACTTCTGAACAGGGTTACTGCATTCCTGCCGGCCCATTTTCGAGTTCCACCGCAAAAATATTTAAGACTTTAACCTTCGTTCATAAGCAGCGACAATATCAGGAGCAGTTTCAAGTAGTTCTCGTTTACTAAACCATCTGTCCTCAGATGGTGCCTGAGACTTAAAACGTACCTTGAACTGCTTCTGAGGTCGTCCACGTCCTACCGTAGAGAAGTAATCATGCTCTATGATTCTATCTACATCATATCTGCCTTCCATAGATGGCGTAGATGGCAAAATCATAGAGGGTCTGTTTTGAAATTCATTCCCTTCTACATAGGGCAACGATTTGGACGCGTGAAAGACAGGATATGTTTTGAGATGAGGGCGAATATCAATGCAATAAGACGGTCCCTCTGCATCTCCAATTACTTTGAGAACTTCCCCGGGTCCAAAATAGACAGGAAGCAATTTCTGGGACACATCTTTCTAGTGAAAACTCTTTAGATTTTACCCAAGCCAGATCACCCTCTTTGAATGTAGACGGTCGATGGTGCCTGTTGGCTTATTCAATCATCCGTAGTTGAGCTTTCCTTAGATTATCTTTAACTTTCTGAATGTCCTCCTGGAACAATATTGCATATTATCGGATCCCTGGGGGCAACTTAAGGAATTGGTCCTGGTTTAATACATGAATGGGACGTTTAGGTTTCCACCCTTTGTGAAGTGCATTCGGGGTTCGTCCAGTGGAAGTGTGAATACTGTTGTTATATGCACTCGCAATTTTGGGTAAGTTCTCATCCCAATCAATCTGATCGGGTCTAACATACATGCGCAAAAGTTGCTGGCACAAACGGTTCATATGTTCAGTCTGGCCATTCGTTTCGGGATGCCTCCCTGACGACATGGTCAGCCGCGTGCCATAAGCTTCCATCAGCTTTTGCCATGGCAGACTGGTGAACCTGACATCTCGATCGGACACAATGGATTTAGGGAACCCATACTCAGTGACCCATCGCATCTGAAATTTCTGAATGACAAGTTCAGTACGCGCTTCTGCTGGTAAGGGAACAAACATAGCGTATTTAGAGAAACGGTCCACAATTACCATCACTTGACTATTACCATTGCGACTTTTAACCAGACTCATGAAGTCAATTGAGATAGACTCACCTGGTTCGCTTGGTATAGGTAATGGCTTGAGAAGTCCAAGGGGATTCTCATGCAACGGTTTGTTTCTCTAACACACTAAACAGGTACGAACATATGTTAGTACATCGTCTTTAAGTCCCTTTCATTCAAAACATTCTCTGACTTCAGCATATGTTTTCTTGAAACCAAAATGATCCTCATAATCGTGACATTCCCCAATCAACAGATTCTTAATCTCTTCTTTATGAGGAATACACAATCTTTGTTCGGTTTATTCAATCAAGAACAACAATCCATAAGTCAGTCTATAGTTGGGTAGTTGGGACGGATCTCGTACAAGGATATCCATGATTGGTTTCCAGATAGGATCAATAGCATATCCTTGGCGAATCTGGGCTTTCAGGTCATTCCCAACATCCAAGTAAGAAACAATTGCACCATAGAAATCACTGCGTCGGGACAAAGCATCTGCAACCACAATAGACTTACCTTTGATAGTCTTGAGTTCAAAGTCAAAGGTGTCAATGAATGCAGACCATCTTACCAACTTGTCAGAGAGTCTGGACTGTGTTTTTATCCACTTTAGGGTTGAGTGGTCTGAGTACACAGTAAAGTGCCTCCCAAACAGGTAGTGCCTCCATGTGTCCAACGCACAGACTAAGGCACAGAGTTCTCTTTCATACATGGAGTTGGGGACTTTGTCACACGACAATCGTTTAGACATAAATTCTATGGGCCTATAACCCTTGCCGTCATCTTGCTGGAGAACAGCGCCAATCCCATACTGACTTGCGTCAGAGGTGAGAATGAAAGGCAAAGACGGGTCAACAATCTTAAGGACAGGGTAGTGAGTCACTGCATACTTCAATTTCCGAAAGGAGGACTCACAATCCTTATCCCACAACCAGATAGTTTCTTTCTTTAACAATTTTCGCATTGGTGCAGCAATCAGTGAGAAGTTTCTGACAAACTTCCTATAATAACTAGCTAGACCAAGGGAAGATCGCAGTTCAGTAATAGACTTAGGTAGTGGCCAATCTCTAATTGCTGATATATTTTTCTTTTTCGGCCATGGACCTTCTTCATTTACTATGTGTCCTAGGTATAACGCTTCGGACTTAGCAAACTCAAACTTTTTTGAGTTGATCTTAAAGTTTCCCTCACGCAACGTCCCTAACACCAGACGAAGGTGCTTCTCATGATCCTCTAGTGTTTTACTATACACTAGAATATCATCGAGATAGACAATGACAAACTTATCCAACCATTGACGAAACAAGTCATTCATTGACTTTTGAAAAGTGGCAGGGGCATTCGTTAATCCGAAGGGCATTACCACGAACTCATAGTGGTCATACCTGGTCCGGAAAGCGGTCTTATGCTGATCGGAGGGTTCCACCTCGATCTGGTGATACCCAGATTTCAAGTCGATCTTGCTGAAGTACCTACATCCCTGTAACTGGTCAAGTAAGTCGTCAATGCGAGGAAGCAGTTCAACATTCTTAACAGTGACAACATTCAATCCTCTGTAGTCTATACAGAGACGTAACTCACCTTCCTTCTTAGGTACAAACAAGACAGGAGCACCATAAGGAAAGGAGCTAGGGAGAATCCGTCCTTTTTTTGTTAAGTCTTGCAGTTGTTTCCTTAATTCCTCAAGTTCCCTAGTAGACATTCGGTAGATAGGGCCCTTGGGAATCTTACTACTAGGAATAATTTCAATGGTGTGCTTAATTGCACGCTCAATTATTCCTGTTGGTTCAGTGAGTAATTTTTTATACTTGTTTAAGAGTTTTTCAATCCAAGGAGGATAGGAAGTAGAAGACTCACCTGCTTTCTTTACTAAGACCATCATTACTTCCTGTTCCAACCTTTTCTTTGAAACCATCGATCGAAATACAGGATAACTCATACAACAGAAAGACAGACTAGAGTCAGAGTCAGACTTATGGTACAGTTTGATAGGTTTCAATTGAGAGTGTACATCCCGCAGTTGCACTACCTTTTCCTTGAACTTGATTTCTGGGTTGGCTTCCTCGTGCCAGTCCAGTCCCAGAATCAAGTCGAAGGGTTTCTACAAGGAAGGATACCTCATGAAGAATCTTCTTCCCTCCCTTGGTGCGAAATTGACATTTGACACGATCAACACATTGCGAGATAGTGATCGTGCGTCTGTCGGCAAGAATAGACGTGATAGGTCGAGACAGATTTTTTACCTTCATTCCAAGATGCAACTTGCGAATTGCCTTCTCGGATATGTAGGATCGAGTTGATCCTGAGTCCAACGGTGCACCTACACGTGTATGTGCAATCTCTACATCCGCGAGTAGCAGGTCACCCTTAGACTTCGATTTCTTAGCCCACGAGCTTCGTAATGCTAGCAACTCATTACCAAGCTCGTCAAGAGAGTCGTCCAGAGAGACAGTACATAAGACAGGTTAAGGGTTTTCCAGACGATGGGCCGAAGAAGAACCATCCTCTGCCATGTGAGTCAAAGGGTTAGAAGGGTTAGTAGGCGCCTTACCTTCATCTTGGTCCAAACCCTTAGACTCAATAGGAGCAGATGCTACTCCTACTGGCGGCTTGCTTTTGGGTTACGGATAAGTGGGCACCATGCAATCACATGCCCTGGGGTACCACACTTCAAACTGTGCATTATCCATTCTTCCTGCCACGTTTCTTGTGACATTCTCATCTTTTCCCATGACTTCCCGGCTGCAATCCCGGGTTGCTCTGGGAACGAGTGTGGCTTCTTCTTCTTTACTGGTAGTCGTGGTCCTCCCTTGTTGACCACAGCAGCAGTGACTTCCCCCTTCCCGGAATCACTGCTGCCCGTCACACCCTCGGCCTCCAATGGCCACTTCTCCACAATATCGTCGTCAAAAACGATGAGGGTGTGGTCCTGGCGCTTTTGGCGCCAAAGTATCCGCTTTCCTGCACCACCATCAAACTTCACAACAGATGCATATGAATTCATAACCTAAGAAGTCATTTGCTCTCGTTGGAGAGCTAAATCACGAAACTGCATGTAATTGTACTTACCGGATTTCGACTCTGTCACGAGTTGTCCACGAATGGGTTCAGGCAGAGCGCGGGAATAGATATACAAGACTTGGTTGTCTTGCAGGTTCAATCCAGGAACCTACAACAACCGATCAACTTCCCGAGACAAAGCTTCTACCGAGGTCCAGTGTTTTTGACCAATGGTAGTGAGCTGGTCAAAAGCCTTGTCGATCGTTGTCTTATCCAGGAAGCGTTCCTTGATCTTGCCAAGGAACTGCTTCAGAGTCAAGGTTGCAGCCCACTCCCCAACGTCATCGAACCCCGCTGCATTGGCCTCGACCAATACCCATTCCTTAGCTTTCCCCCCAAGACAAGAGGTAGAGAAAGCAACCTGGGACTCGGGTTCAACAGGGGTCGTATTGCAGTACGTCTGAATCTCGACAATCCACAACAATAAATTTTCATTTTTTTGTTGCAGAACGTGAAAGGCAGTTTCATCTTTACCTTCTCTTTCTTTTTCGGTTTCTTCGGATCCGCGCTTTCCTTGACCGGTGACTTTCGGGAATCAGGAGACTTTGGAGGTGGAGAGGGAGGAGGAGAGCTCGGTGGAGAAGACGGCGGACTCGGAGGTCCTCCTCCATTAGACGACTTCTGATCTTTAGGAAAGCGGACTTCATTGCTTCACTCATCAATTTCTTATCTTCTTTCTTATCTTCCTTACCTTCTTCTTCTTTACCTTCTACCGGATTCTTCCCTTTCACAATATTTGTGACAGTTCGTAATCCTACAGCAATCTCGTCTAACTGATTTTGCTGTCTCTCAATTTTTCCTTCCAAAAAGGTAAGGTAAATCATGATGTGATACAATGTTTGTGTTATGTCTCTCTGTTCCTTACCTTCTGTTCCTATTACCTGTCTGATTTCCTTTACTTTCTGTTCTCGTCTCAGTTCCTGTTCGTGTATTCGGGCTAGTTCTTCTTTCTCCCTTTCTTCTGCAACCAGCGCCTCTCTTAATTGTTGGATGTTCGCGTCAATCATAGCCTCGGTCACTTCTGGTCTGATTTTCCCTTTCCTAGACAACTCCATGACTTCTTCTAGCTGCTTGATAACAAACTGGTCCAGTGCCTGCCAGAACTGGGCCATCATTTTAGACACTTCGGCCCCGGCAGCCACAACCTCCGCGGCCGTAATCGCTTGCTTCAGACGGTTATCTACCGTCTACAAATCAAACAGATTACGAACGTGTCGTTCGGCGTCAGGTCCGGACAGACGCAAATCATTCAATAGCTGGTTCCATAGGGTCAGTAACTCTTGTTTCTTTGTCTCCACCTGTTTCCTTGTCTTGGGATCGAAGGATCCTTCTCCCGCAAAGAACGTCATCAGGAAAAGAAGCGAGAGTATTTTCCACGTGGTAAACATCTTAGAGGTCAGGTTTGAGAAAATATTGGCAATAATGGAACAGAAAAATAAAGCGAAGTAATAAAAAGGAACAGATCTCTACTTATACTAATTGCTGTTTTTTTGTCTGTGTGATGACGTCCTATTCGAGAGTGTATATGTACCATGTCAGGCCCGTGTGATCAGATACAACACACAAGTAAGTACGCACAGCACCACAACACAGCAAACGACAAGGTAAGTATGCCAACAACAACAACAAACAATTTGTCAGCACCCTTTTTCTTTCTGATGAGTCAATCCAGGTGTCAATTGCGATGATGCACCCTCCTTGACAGCTGATACTACAGTTGTCTTGTCAGTCGTTCAATCAGTCGTACCACCGTCGTCTTCGGAGTGCTTCTCTTACTTGGCAGCCACCTGCCTGCCACGTGTCATCCCTGGAGTGCTAACATAGCAGATACTGCCACGTCAGCACTAGTGTCCAGTCAATCAATAAAGGGATGCCACATCAACAAATGTGTGCTCCGTCCTTCCCACGTGCCACTTCCACGCGTCATGTCATGATATCGTCGCCGTTCTAGCCAATTGGACAATGCCACTCATCCAATGGAGACCAATGTTACGTCAACAGGAAGTCAACACCTCAAGAAGACAGGTGTGATGACTTCTCCTCTGCCACATTAGCAATCAATCCTGACTTTCCCAAAGGCCACGTCAACTTCTGTAACAAACCTGGTCGTGCATAAGCTGCTAATGCAGTGTGAGAGTGCCACGTCAGCAATCACCAACAACGAGGTCTTCAGACGCGGCATATGATATGCCACGTCAGCAAGGGATCGCGATGCCACTTCACCAGGGTGGCGCGCAGTAACTCTTGGTTGTGGTCCCTACTGCCACATCATCAGCCACGTCATGATCTTCTCTCGCCAGTGAAGTCTCTACCACGTCAGCAACTCCGGCGATAACGTCTTGTCAAGTCGTCACTACCTCAGCACACGTGTGCATGCCCACTTACCTGCACGCCACCTGGCGCGTGCACACGTGTGACTCTCGTCGTCATTAGGAGAACTGCTCTGATACCAAATTGCAATGAACCCAGATCGTGAAGACACTTGTCAACAATGCAAGCCCCAGAATATCAAACTGCCGATGATTACCAATAGTCAAAATCGTGTCCAGACAGAATGAGATGAGATAATCATACACAGACGAAGGAGAGAGGAGGGAGATTAGACAAAGGAGAGGAATAAAGTACAAGGCCCACTCCTGCTTCGCGCTCCCTCCTCGATCACCACCTCAAGTAATCAATAGTCTGAACGCATATCTGAAGTCCTACTACAATGTGCCACGTGGCACGTCAATAAGTCCTCATCAGCGCACTGGAGCAATGTCGACCTCAAGATGATAAGGTACGTATCCACGATTACCCCCCCAGTCATGATCTCCTCCTGAGTGACGATGAATCAGAACAACACTGTCGGTCACATAGTCCCAGCCAATTAGAAGATAGACCACGTGGCAGCGGCCACGTCAGCAACAACGCATGGCAGCTGCCACGTCAGCATGCCTTGAAGACAATAGCCAGCCAGCCACCATGCCGAGCCAGCAGCGCGTCGCCGCAATCTCTCAAATGCCAGCACAAAGCCAGCGTCCACCAGCGTCGCAGCGTCGAGCCAGCGTCGTGTCGTCAACGGGTGAAGTCAGCATTAACGCAAGACTGAATGAATGTCAAAGCCAGGAAAGTCAGCGCTTATGTCGCGTTGACTCGAAGTCTGGACCCCGGATGGTACCACCCCCAGCCGTCCAGATCTCGATGCAAAGTAAGGCCCAGATTGGTTTGAAACCGACTTCCCTCCCGCCTGGATGCTTGTCTGGGTACCTGCGCACAACAAGTGACTGTATCCAACCAAGAGCGTGGGTGCGGTACCTTTGACTCTACAGTTGACTTTGACCTTTGAATTTTCTGTGTGCAGCGTTAGGTCACACAGCCAAATGCGACAGACTCAGGCCTGGGCGTGTCTTGGTCACACAGCCCAGTGCAGACCAACTCAGGTCTGCGTTGCCTGGGGCTGAGTTCAGGGCCCCAGGCTACCTCTGAACAGGGTTACTGCAAATCTTACTGGCGAATCTACCTGGAGCACAATGGCGCTATGTGCTTGTATTCGAACATGCACCGGCCCATGTGAGTTGGAAACAATGGCAACTGAGTAAGAGAAGAAGTTGGGCCCGCCCCTTGTCCCAGCAGTTTTCCTAACAGTGGAGGCAGGTCTCGTGTGGGAGCGTCGTGCGAGACCCGCGATTTGCTTTAAGTGTATAGAGATAATCCAATTTTTATCTCTCTCCATCTCTTCTTTTGAATTTCAGCAAGTCTTTTGTTTTTTTTTTTTGTTTTTTTTTAAATGGACCCAGTGCCCAAGGCTCCAATTATGAATTTGATTACAACATTTAACCACACGCCTCTTCCCATTAGGGCTGGAAGAGCCTCAGCCACTGCTCCCCTGGAGACAGCTTCCCTGCATGACGTAAATATAGAATAATGCATTTCCCCAAAATTTTAGTTTTGCATTGCGGATGGAGTGGGATCATAACGTAAGGACTAATCTAGAATTTTCAAATTTTACTATTCGATAACAAAGAGCAGGCAAAGAGTATGTATTTTACCGTCATGGTTGCCATCAGCCCTTCGGGAACATTAGCAACAATGATGCCAACAGTGAGAAACAATGTCTCCATGAATCCTTGCCCAAGAAGTATACCTAGTACAAACCCCCCAATCCCAAAAATGAATGCAAAGCCTCCAATGAGTTTGACAAATGCAGCGATTTCCAGACCAATTGGGGTTTCCTCATGAGATGAGTCCGCTGTCAGCTTTGCTAAGTTACCCATCATTGTGCGGTCACCTGTCATGTCAACAGCCCACAAGACAGTCCAGGTCAGCCACCATTTCTGTTTTTCTTGGGAAAACCAGGTGATTGTATTTTTAGAACTGGAACTGAGAGTCCTTCAGGACATCCGTTAAAATTGGAACGATACAGAGAAGATTAGCATGGCCCCTGTGCAAGGATGACACACATAAATCGAGAAATGGTCCAAATTAAAAAAAAAAAAGAAAAAAAAAAAGAAAAGAACTGGAACTGAGATCGGGGACCTCACAATTCTACCCAAATTGGGGCCATTACCCAGCTTCGGCTGGTGCTGGAAACTGGGGCCCGGGTCCCATTCAGTCATTACAATCAGTTTTCCAAAATACCCTGAAGGCCAATGAAAATCACTAGACTAACACAACTTTCATATCAAAGATGATGATGAGAATATTTGAAAAATTGTACAATCCTAACAAACGCTCACCCCCATCTCTGGTCATCAACAGGCAGCACTGTTTAATCTCAGTCCTTAAATCAAGCTTACCTGTTTCCATCCCCCAAATGGATTGCCAGGATTCTCGTTTTCTGTCATCAGTTGGTTGCTCAGTCCAGTCTCTGGTCATCAAGGGAGGTATTGGTCAGCCTCTGGCCCATTTCATCCCCAGACCTTTCCCTATCAAGCCTCATACTCCCACAAATCGCTCACTGCGGGTTACAGGGTGGTGCAACCCACCCCAGGCAAAGCCATCAATCCGTTGATCTTCTCTACCTGATCTCATACTACCGTGAATTGAATTACTTACTACGGGTGACAGGGTGGCACAACCCACCCCTTTTTTTTTTTTTTTTTGATGATGATGATGATGATGATAAGAAAAAGCAATGAACGACATAAGCAAAGCCTGACCTCTCAATCCATGAGCAACTCCTAGTCTCCCCTAAACCAGATACGGCACTCCAGAAGTCGTATCATCCTAGCTAGTACCAGCCATAGCTTTCGTGTTTTCACTGCCAAGACTATACCCGGCCCCTTAGGTTGTCATGGCAGCCCCCCCTAGTTCGCCACTGGATTGCCTTCCTCCCTCGGCGAATCCCCAGACCTCTCTACCAGGCCTCACGCTCCTGCCATAAACAGGTCACAGGGCAAAGCACCCCAGCACCGGCCAGCGTCGTTCTGGCATCGGCAAACCAAGAGGACAAAACACCACAGCTTTGTAAGGCGTCGACCAGGCTTCTACCACCTTTAAAATCCTGTATCCAATATAAGAGGAAAATAAAATGACGCCTAGGATGGAAGAAAAACAGGTAAGTTTACATAGCTCAGATAATTAGTAAACTATAAACCACATCAGCAAAACATGACTCCACAATCATGAACAACTCTCAGCCTCCCCTCTACCTGACTCAGCATTCCAATGACAATCTCATCCTGACCAATACCAGCCATAGCCATCATGTTTTCACTGCCACGACTGTACCCGGCCCCTTAGGTCGTCATGGCAGCACCCCCCAGTTCGCCCCTGGATTGCCTTCCTCCCTCGACCAATCCCCAGATCTCTCTACCAGGGCTGACGCTCCTGCCACTAAACAGGTCACAGGGCTTCGCCCCAGCACCGGCCAGCGCCGTTCTGGCATCGGCAAACTAGGAGCATAAAACATCATCACTTTGCAAGGCAGTGGTCAGGACTCCAAGCATCCTTGAAACCTGTATCCTATAAGAGAAGAAAGTTGACCATCGCTTAGGATTGGAATAAAGCCAGATAAGCCAGTCATAGCCTAGACCGTAATGTACTACGCTCGGCCTGGATCTTTAAAGACAACTGTCCGTCTCCCAGTCCCTTACATAGCACAGTGAGATTGAAGATTGATAATGATTAAAATCATGCTACATATGTAGCTCAGCTGAACAAACAGAACATAAGAAAATCCTCACCCTCCTCTCCACCTTGTCCCATAGTTGCCTCCACCGACATCGAATACCTACTTGGGGATCTTCGTCATCAGCCCCAACTGGGGGACAGGCCCACAATCCACCCCTATCTTCTCCAGAGGCAGACAGTTCCCTCCTAAAGTAAATCTTTGTCTACCCCTTACCTTAATCTGCCCCCGCTGAGGTTGGACGCATTCGCTCACATCTACCCCAGCCCCAGAATAGAGTATCCCCCTCAGGAGGCGCAGCGCGGCCGGGAGCGCTGCGCCCCACCCGCGCAGTCGAACCGAACAGCACTGGGCAGCAACAGGTGGTGGAGTGGCGCGAAGTCGTGCGGTGCCGGGCGGTAACAAGCGGTGGAGCGGCGCGATGTCGGAGGAGAGGGTTTGCGGTGGTGTGAGGTGGAGGATGAGAGGCTTGGAGTGATGGCTATGGGGTGGATTGCTGATGTGGGTGGTGCAGCGTGCGGACAGGTTGGGGTTGTTATGAGGAGGCTGTTGGTGAAGGGCTGCGATGGGTATGGTTGCCAGCATCATTATGCATCAAACTCTTACTCGAGCCACGAAATACGGGATGCCATGCGTCGAACGCGAAGGTGAGGGTGATGGATCAGTTTGGACAGGTAAGTGTTTTCACGATGGTAGTACTCCATGGATCTTCTTAGTTTGGTTGGTATGTGTTGGGGATTTGCTTGGTGCCGCAATCTGCCTGCATCACAGGCTGACGGGGTTGAGATTGGGGAGGGGCTGTTGCGCCACGCGTCTGGTGAACGGCTCCGATGAGGTCTCCCTGTGCTACATGATAGATGCCTCGTGCGCCCCGTTTTGGAGGGTGAGGACGCCGAGGGGCGAGAGGGCGATGGTTCCCGCGAGGTAGGGGTGACATCACATACGAGTGAAGGGGGAAGGGAGGAGAGGGGAGGAGAGGATTCATGGAGGAACCTTTCTTGGCGTCTTGGGGTTTTCTTAGCATGGTATACTCACTTTTGATCCTCATGATTACGGATGCGTTGATTCCTGGATTTCGTTACAAATGTTTTCGAGATAGATCTTTTAATCCCATTAATTCAAAAAGGATAAGTATGCAACCCTTGATGCTCATCAAATGATGATGATCCAATTAGGTTTTCGGAATTGTGTTTTCTCTATTCTTTTTCAACTTTTTTGTATGGTTTCTGGAAAAGAATTTCTTAAACTTTTTTGTGCTGTACATCCTTGCTAAGAGTTTCTTAAACCGTGGTTTGGGAATCAAATTCGAAAATCCGTTATGGATATCTAAGCCTAAATTTCGTATAATTTCTCGTAATTTTTGTCACTCGGTAGTCTTCCTTATCATTGATCTTATGGTCTTGTTTTTTTCTTGACTTCTGATACAAACGCGTTTCTGATCGCCGATGCCTAAAAGTGAGCTTCTGCAGTTTTTAAAACCCTATGACTACTAATCATAATATCGAGCGGCAAAATTTGATTCAGATTGGTTTGTTAATTCCAACTTCCTGGTCTTGAGGGGTGTAATTGTGGCTTGCTGTGTATACCTGTGGTGTCTTCCTTGAGATTTGGAGCCTCCCCCCGTGAGGGTTTCACAAGGTGGGAGGCATTATTCTTGGAGGGGGGAGGCGGTATTGGGGGATTGCTGTCTCTTAGCCAAACTGATTTAGGGTCGGATCAGTACTGGTGGGTGGGGAGAGAAGGCAAGGGGGTGGCTGCTTATAGCAGTGTTAGGATTTTTGAGGGAAGGAGTGATTTCCAGGGCTACACAGTGAGCCGAAGTGGGGGGGGAAGCTAGGTTTGAAGGAAGGTAGCAAGGGGATTTTCAACAGAAAAGGCTGTCTATTTGGGTAAGTAGGTCAGAAGGACGAGGCTGGGACGACACAGGCCGGTGCTGGAGCCGCTGCTCTGTAACCCAGGGGGAGCTTGAGGCCTAGGAAGTTATGCCGAGGGTGGAAGGCATAACCAGATCATCCGACATAGCTGGCACCAGGGTATTGACCCTGTAACCTGTTTAGGGGCTTGCCGCTACGGGAATTGTCGAGGGAGGAAGGCAGTTCCTTCCGTCAGCGCTAGGTTGATCGGTACTGGGTAGGGTTGTGGTGCCCTGTTACCCTAGCAGAAGGGGGTTATGAGATCAAGTGAGTTCTGGTACGAGCTCTGAAAGCCTGGACCGATGCTCCATCTGTTGGAAGGGGGAATCTAGGATAGTAGACAGTTTTAGTTTTCACCCCCCCGTTCTTATATTTTTTAGAAACACTTTTTGAATGTCCTAAAGAGATTTGGGTGCTTAGTGGTCCTTTTAGGACTTAGGGATCCCTACCAACTCGTCTTACGTGGCTTCAACACTGTTATACTCGAGATTTGCGGTTGTTCGATGCCAGAACGACGCTGACCGGAGTTGGGGTGTTGCCCTGTAACCTGCGATGCAGGAGCGTGAGGTCTGGTAGAGAGATCTGGGGAGGTCTTGGGGGGGCTTTCCACGGGACAACCAAGGGTTGCTGCTGGGACGACGCTGGTCGGAGCTGGGGTGAGTTGCGTTGCCCTGTAACCCAGCAGAAAGTGGGGGTGTGAGACCTGGAAGAGAGCGGCAGAGTGTACGACAGTTTTGGAGAACGTTGGAAGGGTGTGTGCTGGTTTTCAAGGTTTTGGGAACAATCGTAGGACCTCTGTGGCCTATTCTCTTGCTTCTGGAACGACGGTAAGAGTAAATAAGGTGAGTGGGAGAAGATGGTGGGTTATCACGCGTCCTACCAGTGAGGGGGCTAGCTGGTAGGATGGGAGTATGGCATAGCAGCAGTAGAGATGGTGGCTCCGCTGCAGTCAGTCTTGCCGGAGTGAGGCAAAGCGGATCGATGGGGGTTTCCGAGTCGTTTCTGAATTTTTCATGAAGTTGTCATAGACATGTCTAAGTAGCTCCAATAGTTCTGAGCTAAAGTCGGGTAATGGTCCCGGTATCTCAATTTTCCAAACTCCATCCTTAGGCCAATTAAAGTTGTCTAGTAGTTCCTTGTCTCATTTTCTTGAAATTGTCTGATGAAGTTTTCTGAAGTTTTCTGAATGTACTCGTTATGGGACGCTGGGCCCGGTTCCCAGCTCGTGCCAATTAGTGAGGATAT